TGAGCAACTATGGACGATCTGACTGTGACTATAGATCTCAGGAAGCACGCAAGCACATGGAAGTGCGCGGAGTCCCATAACAAACTCAACCATGCTGGGCTATTCTGAGAGAAACTCTAGGGAGATCTAGATGCACGACAGTCGGAGATGATGTCACAATCATGAGTAACTCAATCATATAGAAGATAAGTTCACAGAGGAGTTCCGATAGGACTGAAAAAAACCGGCAATTTCGCATTGGAGGCGTTGCTCGGGCTTGATCGAGCACACAAGTCCGACAGAGTGACTGAAGTTCCTCATCCTAAATCTGACAGAACGAGTAGAATGTCCTATCCTAGTCGTGGACTTGTGTACAACACAATCTGTTGTCCTAGTCTTCCTCGTTAGCCTAGCATGAGCTCCGAGGCGTAGCCTCTGTGTTACTCGGTGATAAATATCCGACAACGACTCTTCTACACGATTTTCGGTGCAAGTTTAACAAGTGAGCAGCAGGCAAGAAATGATGGTGTTACAAATGAGTTCGACTTTGAGAATTCGAGTATGTCACATTCAACATCGACAATTTCGGTGTCCATTCACTAGACCTCTCCTTAAGCTTCAGGAGTGCCACCAGAATTGGATTCAGCATGTTAAACTCAGTACTGGGCGTGGTCTTGAAACTCAGAGGGGGGGGGTCTAAAGCGAGGAATGTTAGAGGTTTACCCAACATCATTTCAAGGTGATAGACTACTGTCATCAGCACCATAGTCAACGTCTTCACTACCCTAGATACCAACATATTTCTGTCAGGAGATAACTCCGAGACTTCACCGTTTCATGATGAACGAAGGGCCTTTAGGGCTAGGACCTAACCCTAGGCGTAGGACCTTGAAATAGCTCAATCTGGTATCACTAGGAAGAGGGATTCTTAAGGAAGTCCTAAACTTAAGGTAAAGGAAACGAGCTTAAGGTTCCTAGGTCGTCAGGAAGTTATTGGAAGATATACGGTATGAACATAGAGGCTCTATGTTCATACAACTCTCTACAACTCATACAACTCTATGTTCCTAGGCTCTATGATAGAGCCTAGGGGCATTGACATGAAAAGCATAATAATAAGACTGCTCTACAGAGCGGATAGATCCCCTGATGTAGCAATCCCGTTCGAATCCAAGTTTGTTGATATCTCATTTGCCTGATGCACTATATTAAATTAATGTCAACTGACAACGCAAATCTCACAACGTCGACATCAAAGAGCATGAATTCACATCAAACTGATCAAGAATGGATACGAGGAAATTTCATCAGTCACTCTTACCTCAATCTCAACCTAAGTTGGTCCTTTTGTCTCAATTTTCTGATAAGGTCCATGAGAGCGGCGTTCCTCCGTTTCGCTGAAAAACAACTAAAATGATCTTCTCGAGTTTCTCATAGGTAAGAAGCTTTTTCTCGGATATTTCGATTAACCGTTTTCGAGTGATAAAAAAAGCTAGAACAGATTCTGGAAACGAGCATTATCGAGGTTCAACAAAGTAGTTATCAGACACGAAACTTGTCTCCGCGCCCTCAACTATTCGCAACTGCAGGCTTTTTAACCACTCTCAATTGCACTGTTCACAACTACACTGGAGTTTCACCCATGAAATGAAAAACATATTTCACGACTACTGCATATCACCGCAAATATCGGGTTTCACAGAGAGTATTACACAGAGTATTACGCCACTTCACATTTAACGGGTTGTGAAACTGCACTGTCCTAATGGCTTTGCCATTAGTCAATGTCATATCCGTAGCCTATATCGTGTTGAGCACTGGTTCTACTGGGTTAGAGTGCAAATCAGAAGCAATAGACATAACGCTCCGTCCGGAACACGACTCGCCTACCTGTGGTGTAATCAGCGGGTGCTTTTCTGTTGAGCTCTTCGTGACGTTCTTGCATCTCGAGTATATCAGCTTCAAGCTGGAGAGAAAACAAGTGACCAAATGGAATCTTCCACATGCTCACCTGCCTAACTTCTCGTTCTAACCTTTTTACTCTACTTACAGGTTTTACCCCATTTTCCGGCAAAATTTCAGAGAGATCCGGACCAGCTAGAACCTGTGATGACCAGTATAAGAGAATATGCACATGGTCAACTACACTATTATCTTAGGGAATTCTCGTTGGTTTTTGTACACTTCTATAATTAGTGAGGAAACGCCTAAGCCCAGCTAATGCAAGTGAACACATATTTCAACACTAGTTCTGACACTGACTATGAGAAGGCATCATATACTGCCTATTCTACAAGGAACTTAGTTCAGTGAAGATTACCCAGTATTTTCGACCAACCAGAATCAGTTTTGGCACAATTTTCCACCGATTGGCAGGATTCATGTCGAAGTTCATATGTTGATCAACGGACTCATCATCGCTCGAATCGGACATTTGATGAGCAGTTTAAAGACTTGACTGATGACAACTACCGCATTTTAGTGTTGGATTCACGGGATTAGAGTCCAAGTTCGGAGCCTGAGTCTGAGACACATGATGTGGGAGACGCTGACGAGAATTGCAAGAGACGCGCTCTCTGTTCAGGCGTTCTCACGCCCGAGGCTAAAATACGCATTTTTTCAGCTGATAGATTCATCAACGGACTCATCATCGCTCGTATCCAACAATTGATGAACAGCACGGAGAGCTCTTAATAATGACAACTTGCGCATTCCTGTGATGGAGTTACGGAATATCGGAAACTCAGCGTTTGAAAGGAGACGCCTTGAAAAGTCGCAAGAGACGCGCCCGCTGTTCAGGGAGGGTTCCACGCCCAAGGCTAAAATGGGTACGTTCCTTAGCGGCACTCGTGGCTGTAACTGAAGTTCAACCTGGCTTGTGCTTCTGGACAAACTTCACTTACTGACACCTACAGGAATGATGGTGATTCATTGTTGGATATGAATCTATGCAGTCTTTGGTTTGGAAGCATCCGGGTCCACCTGGAGACACGAAGCCTGTCCCTATGAGAGTTCGAGCTTAATGAGACTTTTGCCGGCTTGTTAACAGCGAGTACCGATTTTGCTATCATTATAAATCACTACTATGTATTGCTATTGGCTGTTATACAGTTCATCAGCAACCTCAGGTCATCATAACAAGAAAAGTGCTCCACCGTGGAGCCTCCACGGGATCCATGGCGACACCAACCAGGTGTCACGGGCGTTGGGGTCACGTCACATTCCAGGTCACCACCAAGGCCGTCTCGTCCTATCTTTTTTATCCTTTGCACCGTCAATCACGATGTTCGCCCGCTATCTTGCCCTTATCGCGGTTACAGTCACCAATGTTGCCGCTGACAAGCTTTGTGGTACTCAACTGTGCCAGAAGGAAGTTGGTCATGGCTCTTACTGTAAGGATTACCAGCAAGATCCAGCTGGGCGTGTTTGCAAGACTCTCGATCCCAAGGACACCAGAATCATCCCCTGTGAATGTCCTAAGCCAACCCCCACCACAACTACCCCTGCTTGTGGACTGGTAACGACCACTACTACTAAGGCCGCTCCTAAGACTACCACTACTACCCCGGGTTGCGAGCCGGTCACGACCACTACTACTAAGGCCGCTCCTAAGACTATCACTACTACCCCGGGTTGCGAGCCGGTCACGACCACTACTACTAAGGCCGCTCCTAAGACTATCACTACTACCCCGGGTTGCGAGCCGGTCACGACCACTACTACTAAGGCCGCTCCTAAGACTACCACTACTACCCCGGGTTGCGAGCCGGTCACGACCACTACTACTAAGGCCGCTCCTAAGACTACCACTACTACCCCGGGTTGCGAGCCGGTAACGACCACTACTACTAAGGCCGCTCCTAAGACTACCACTACTACCCCGGGTTGCGAGCCGGTCACAACCACTACTACTAAGGCCGCTCCTAAGACTACCACTACTACCCCGGGTTGCGAGCCGGTCACGACCACTACTACTAAGGCCGCTCCTAAGACTACCACTACTACCCCGGGTTGCGAGCCGGTCACGACCACTACTACTAAGGCCGCTCCTAAGACTACTACTCAATCACCGACACCTCGTCATAGGACTTGTCATGGCGGTGATATCGTCTGTGGCTTCGCGACACGCGGTGGTGTCTGCGAGAGGTTGCCGGGCCGCGAGCACTTCGGCAAGTGCGTTGGTGGTGCCAGACCTCATCATTACTCATGTTTCTGCTTCTATTAGTAGATGTAGCTTTAACTTTTTTTTACTCATTCCTAAGTTTTCCTTCTAATAAGAGCCTCATCCGCACATATACCCACTCGCCTGTAGGATGCAGCGACGGTTATTGAAATACTACGGTTGTGTTCTTTGTCACTTATGGCAGTGCCATGGGGGTTCACTCTACGGTCCATGATGGCAAACTCGTTATTCACCACTATTCAACATCTCACATTATCAAGAATAGAAAAAATATTCCTACAGTGAATCGAACTTTAGACCATAAGCATGTAACTCACGATCATTATCCGTTAGACTATACAACCACTTGTAAGAGATGTAGCTCTCCCAGTGGGTTGAGTTGCTCTTCATATTGACCACCCGCTCCATCGTATGTGAATTGATTACCGATAAGAGAATGAAACTTCCGGACTGATGACGACTTTCTTACTCTTCTAGCAGCAGGCCTATCTTGGTGGATTTTGACCGGGTGATAGTCAGGGCATAATACAACTTTCGCAAGTGTTTTGCACACTATCAATCTTCGCAGAGCTGTTATACTCACAGCCTTTCCAATTTCACGCATATGAATCACAATTACACCCGTGGGGAGATCAATTTCGCCGAAAGCTTCGCGCTAATGGTATGGCGAGTCACCAATTCAGGCGCGAAGCTATTCACCGAATGGAGTTGTACATGGCATAGCTCGTATGTAGAATGCTCACGAAATCGCGTAATCGGCATCCCCAAAGTTCAGGGTATGCAACTAATTGCGATGTGTGGAGGATCTACTACACAGTCTAACGTACCATACTCGGCATTCCGCACAATGCGAAAGGTCGATCGATGCTTTATGTTCTGCGCGAGAATCAGCAGCAATCTGCAATGCAGGGCTCAGACAAGGCGAAAATGCAATAGTGGATTAAGGTCAAGAGCCGTCATGCGCCACCTCAGGTGGCCCACCTGGAATCCCTATGGACTTTGAGCCATTTTTCGTCGCACAGCAAGATGAAGCCACACGTGTCCCGTACTGAGCGCGTGCGTGCAGTGTTTGTCGATAAACCGGATTCCTCCGGTATATGCTATATCCTGGGTGTTAGCATACTATTTGCACCAATCGTCAGTGGTTGGAATAGGCTGGAAGCATCTCTGTAAAATGATCATCCAATTCAGCTGTCACCTCAACATTTTTAATGCAACTCTTCACTTCCGCTGTCGCTCTCCTTTCTATGGTTATGGCCATTACGCTTTTAACTGTTGCCGCTAACAAGCATTGTGGTGATCCACTGTGCTGGAAGAAAGTTGGTAATGCCTCTTACTGTAAGGATTACCAGCAAAATCCAGCTGGGCGTGTTTGCCATACTCTCGATCCCAAGGACACAAGAATGATCCCCTGCGAATGTCCTAAGCCAACCCCCACCACAACTACCACTACTCAATCACCGACACCTCATAGACCTTGTCAGGGCGGTGATTCATTCTGTGACATGGCGACAGGCGGTGGTGTCTGCGAGAGGTTCCCGAGCAAAGAGCACGGCAAGTGCGTTGGTGGTTCCAGACCTTATAATTTTTCATGTTTCTGCTTGTAGGAGTAGATGTAGCTTTAACTTTTTTCACTTATCTCTCAGTAAATAAAGGCGTCATTCACGCATATGCCCACCCGCCTGCAGGATGCAGCGACGGTTATTGAAATACTACGGTTGTGTTCTTTGTCACTAATGGTAGTGCCATGGGGGTTCACTCCGCGCTCCATGTTGGCAAACTCGTTATTCATCACTATTCAACATTCCACATCACTAACAATAATGAAAAAGTATTCCTACAGTGAATCGAGCTTTAGACCATCAGCATAGAACTCACGATCGCTATCCATCAGACTACAGCTACTTTTAAGAGATGTCTTCCTCCCAGTAGGCTGAGTTGCTGAGCAACTGTTGCTCTTCATACTGACCACCCGCTCCATCTCATACACAGTTATCAGGTGATGTGAGACTTTCACTGCCTCAGAAGATCCCTTCTTCGTTCAAGGGGATCCGTATCCACTACCAACACAATGAGTAAAACTATTAGAAAACGAGTCCCATGGGAGGTATCAATAATGCTGAGATGATACTCAGCTTGCACGCTTGCACATTAACGCACAATGCGTGAGCCCTATGTTGGTCGAGGCTAACGGAAATATATTGCGAAGTGAGCTATTATTCTTCTTACTCTGTGTTTCCTTATTCCACAATCTTGTTGTGGGTGCTTCTAGCACTACTGATGGTACATGAGAAGCAGTATCTCTGCATACTCTGTTTGTGCGCACTTCCAGCAGCTATGATAGAATCTATTAGGTTGGAGCGCACACAGTTGTCTGCATTATTGGTATTAGTCATTTTGATCTCGCTTGATGTAGTGTAACGGTACATCACGAGTATCAGTGCGTCTTTCACTCACTTCTATGACACCCCCTCTTGCGTCTACTAGTCAAAGAACAACTCGAGCATCTTCACGTACCCGTAGTCAGCCCCCCCCGTACTCACGCTGCTTCTTCTTCGAACCTTTCCGACATCACTGGTGGCGAGACCCAGCATTATCATCCGAGAAACGAGTTAGATGTCTTCAAGGACCTTGTTGAAGAAAGAATGACGGGGGTTACAGATGCTCTTGCCACTTTGACAAGTCTGGTCGCTACGCTCCAGGAGCAGGGGGCTCGGACTAGATCCGAGCGATCCCCGTCAGTTCAAGGAGCAACGCCGGAGGTCTTTGATGGCTCAGTTGTCCCACGTCGTCGAGGGGGAAAGCCCTTCCCTGAGATTCTGACGGCTGTTCGAAAAGCAGGACGGTTGCATGGTGGAGAATACAAGGGTTTCACTGATCCTCGATGCTTGGACGAGTTCCTCAGAGAGCTGTCAGTTGACCTGACCTTCAGTGCTGGGAGTGACTCTTGGCGACTGGCGGTCCTGCTGCAAAATCTGAGTCATGGAGTTAGAGCTCAAGTATTACGGTCGTATGAAGAGCGCCATAATGGATCGCTCCCGTTACATATAGAAAGCTTCGAGCATGCTGACATCTATGCTCGAGTAATGGCGATCTTAAGGGTGGCCTACACGCCTCCTGCGGACCGCCGCCGACTTGTTAATAAGTTTCACAACCTCACCATTGATGCTCCGACTGTCAGGGGCGATATTGACGAATACGACTATGCATTCGACTTAGTTAGGGTGGAGATTGAGGCGGCCACCGATCAGATTATGACTACTGATACTGTGATAGCCCATTATCTGAGAGGCTTGACTGAAGAGGTGCAACAGTTTGCCGAAGTACATTTAGCAGGTATCACCGATTTCGGACTCTTTAAGCAGAGCATCCGACGTTACTGGCGTGTGAAACATCCTGATCCAAAGGTTAAAGGAGCTCAACGTGGGAAAAGAGAGGTTCGAAGCCTAGATTATAGGACCTATAGTATAGGTGTCATGCGATATACATCGGAAACTTGTTCGTATTCAGAATACCAGGAATGACGACCTCCCGCGTTTTACCGCATGCAGTCACTGCATTGCAGTGCGTGCCAATTTGAGCTCATGTCAATATAAGTTTATGCGACTATCACATTATTCTTTGAATACTCTTTTGAGCTCACCAAAGCTTTTGGAACAAATTCGTTCCCAAACAATCTTCTCCGTAATGACAATCAACTCCACAACGTGAATTACAATTTTCGAATCGTTGGTTGCCAAAATCAACCTAAGATATGCTCTGAAAGCAGTGTAGAGGAATACTCACATACTTGAGTACACGTGTGTTGGAGTAATATATGTTCGCTTTCCTCGGCTGAGCTCAAGAATTCCCTCACTAATTATAGAAGTTTACATGTGAATTCGGGAAGAAAGGTAGAGAGGCCAATGAGAAATTCCCATTATTTTCATATTGTCACCTTTGGTGACTACATGTGTTGGTGACTCACCAACACATGTAGTTGACCATGTGCATATTTTCCCACACTATACATGTGTGAGTAACAATATGAAGAATTTTGAGGAAGTTTTAATTGGTCTCCGAACACTTCTACTCGAGTTCATGTGTAGACCCTTACAATTATTGGGGGAACTGCTGAGATCAGGTGAAGGGAGAGAACCGGTGTTATTGCCGTGTTAGTCAGGCCCTAGCTCTGAGCTAGTAGCTCATATTGGCAGGGTCTGCTCAGCGATACCGCTACTAAACTTTCTGGACGACTATTCAGCTGTGAGAGGTCTGACAGTCCGATGCAATCTTATCTCTCCCTCCGGACAAGCGAGAAAAGTTACTCGCAAAGATCGACGATGCTCTGCTCACTGATGCGCTCTCGAGTGCTGCCTCTTACAAGCTCATCGGCACTCTCACCTTTGCCGGAGCAACCCTCCCAACAAGCGCCACAAGATCATATTTGAGGCAACTACTCAATTTTCTCGAATAAGAAACTAAAGACGTAAATTCGCGCCGGCTGGAGGCGCCAGCTGGGTTCGATAGTGAGAGCACACAGGCGATAGTATCGCCTGTATCGCCGCGATACATAGCTTGAGGTTCAAAGATGCACACAGCTCCCAGAAGCGTGTAATGAGGCTGCTGAGATCAGAGTGACGCGAATGTCCTCTCACCAGGCCATACTCGATGCGGCGTTATCCACGAGGAATATCGCCCATCGATCTTCAACATACTTGCCGAACGAGCTGAGAAGGACTACTGCTGCATACATATTCAGAGCATTAAGGCGGTCTCGGCGGGGCGAGTAGATCTGCTCTTCGAAGCCTCAATTGTCTAAGGGACACATGAAGTGACAGCTGCCGGAGACATGCCCAGTGAGCATTGCCCATAGTCAGTGGATCTCAGTGGCTCAATGGGCCACTGAGGATATCAAATCCCACTAGACACTGCATAAAAATAAGTCTATTCAATAGACTCATCTTCACAATGGAATTATTAAGAAATATCCTATTGTGACTGACTACCTGTTCTTGGCTCTTCCAGCCCAGCGGGGAGTGTCCTGGTCCAAGTAGGTCAGCAAGTGAGATCCATTTCTACACTATTCTTTCAACTTTTCTCCATTGTTTTGAAAGGATCTACCGATGGAGAAGATTTGCAGAACTGCCTTTTTGAGATGGAGCACTGGCTCACTTCTCGAGAGCGCTGTCGACAACGGAGATGTTGAACTCGGATCCCTAAGGGATTGAATGTTCAACTTCAAGGGATCATCCCTCAAGTTGAACATTCAATAATCGACTATGCTACCACCCAGAGATATGCCCTAGCAGTAAAGCCAGTTCGCATGAGCATGCAAGCGTCTCGCGGCGAGACGGTTTGATAGGTCCTATCTATCGGATAGGAAGACCGCGGCGGTCTGACCGCCTTCGTTGGCAAGTAACTCCCGGAGTTGAACTCCGATTTCAACCATATTTTCTATATTCGCCCTTTCTCCATTTACCGATTTTTTTGAGAACCAATATAGCTGGGGATAGGAGAAATATTACTCTGATTTCAATGAGAGTCATCAAGCACTAGTTCTCAGCGAAAAAACCCTAACAAGGCGAGAATTTCGCTGAAAGTCAAATATTTCACTGAAATTTTTTCAGTAAAATATTTGAAATATTTCACTGAAACATCCTTGAAATATTCCATTCTGGATTATTTCAGCCACCCTGTGACCTTTCGTCTTCCTCTCAGCTGTCTGTCGCTGCCGCGAGTGAGGGGACACGTTACTTCTCAGGGTAGCTTTGATACTTTATTGTCTGATGGCTCAAAGCGGAAACGCGGCCGCCGGCCACTGGCCGGCCTAGCAAATGAGCATCGGCCTTGAACTTCAAGGCTTGAAGAGGCAACTTACCGGTATGCAGCCTCCAAAGAAGCCTGCAGCTTGGGCTCCAATGGGGGGAGCGGTTGCCTCCTGGACTAACAGGCTTCTTCCTCACAGGGCAGCCAATATCGGTAAAGTACTGGACTGTAATCGGGCACAGGGGCCTGTCAGGAGGCTAGTTCTCAGATACAAAAGTTCTCTAGAGGTTTCTTACGGTTCCTTTAAACAACTGAGCCAGTTGCAACAAGCTCCTTAATTGATTTTATTTTTTTTACTTTTTTTCATCACTTCCGTTTGCGTTAGTTGTTAATGTCGTTACTATAGCAGTATCACGTCAAAATTGGATTATTCCATACTCATTATGGCATAATAGTTATAGTGATAACACAGGATAGAGCTCAACACTTACGCCAGTTAAGATAATACAGATTAAGTAATAAGATAATAAGATTCTATGCATTCCTGCACTGTGCAGGTTTGTTAACACTCACCTCAGGTAGGAGTAGCTAAGCTACACTCTCATTCTAATCATCGTGAGGCTGTATGAGATGAATGGAAGGTCTTTGACCGAGAATGCACACTCAGCAAAAGTTCCCTGAAAAATTTTACTCGCGGAGAAATTTGAAAACTTCCGCGGAAATTTTCCGCGAAAGTTTCTGTAGGAAGATTCTCAGACACCCTGTCTGATCAGGTATTACTCTTAACGCCACTAGAACGGGGAATGCTGCACGATCAAATTCAGTATTTTTGTTCGCTAAACCTGGTTTCTTCCGTTTGTCCGTTTTCAAATTTGTCGATTACAGCCTTTCAACTTAAGCTTAAGCCCATGGAAAGGCTCCCCAGGGGAGCAAGTACCGAAGAGGGTGCAGGCACGCACCGTGCGTGACGGCGTCACGGTGACGCACGCATCGTGCGTGACGGCGTCACGGTGGCGCACGCACTATCGGCACACTCACTGAGTGTCACTCAGACTCTGTGTACCTGAGTGTCTTTCTCTCATCGGTACTTCTAGGGTCGGTTCCTACAGAACCACCCACAGACTTCCGCGACCGGGAGTGGGATATTTAATAAAGGTTAACTTGTTAACCTAAGTTGAATACCGATGCGGACGGTCGCGTCGTTTCGCTAGCAATTCGTACTGGCAGTACTACTGCGGTAATGAAACCGTGAGACGAGCGGATCCCCCCGTCCCTGCTGGACAGCGTAGAATAGCCGAGGGTAGAAAGGTCTTATACATTTTATCCCAATCCCACCACTGCTGCAGTGGCACTGCAGGGAGCAGGTACCGAAGAGGGTGCACACACGCACCGTGCGTGACACACGCACTATCGGTACACCCACTGAGTGTCACTCAGACTCTGTATACCTGAGTGTCTTTCTCTCGTCGATACTTCTAGGATCGGTTCCCACAGAAGCACCCTACTAGGCCCACGCAACCGGGGCTGGGAGATGTAAAGAATGACTTTCGCATTTACGTGATGAAATTATGGAAAATCGGAAACTCAGCGTTTGAAATGAGACGCGGTGAAGAATGGCAAGGAACACCTTGTCACGGGTGTTGGGGTCACGTCACTACCAAGGCGGTCTCGTCCTATCTTTTTTATCCTTTGCACCGGCATTCACGATGTTCGCCCGCTATCTTGCTCTTATTGCGGTTACAGTCACCAATGTTGCCGCCAACAAGCTTTGTGGTGATCCACTGTGCTGGAAGGAAGTTGGTCATGCCTCTTACTGTAAGGACTATGCGCGACATCCAAATGGGCGTGTTTGCCAGACTCTCGATCCCAAGGACACCAGAATCATTCACTGCGAGTGTCCTAACCCATTCCCCACCACAACTACTACTACTACTACTACTACTACTACTACTACTACTACTCCTACTACTACTCCTACTACTACTACTACTACTACTACTACTACTACTACTACTACTACTACTACTACTACTACTACTACTACTACTACTACTACTCAATCACCGAAACCTCCCCATAGGCCTTGTTTTACCGGTGATTTTTTCTGTGACGTGGCGACACACGGTGGTGTTTGCAAGAGGTTGCCGAGCAGCAGGTTCGTCGGCAAGTGCGTTGGTGGTGCCAAACCTTTTGCGTGGTCATGTCTCTGTCTTTCGGGTTTTAGCGGGTTGTAGCGTTAACTTTTTCCCTTTCTTTTCTCATTCTCCCTAAATAAAGGCATCATTCACGCATATGCCCACTCGCCTGTAGGATGCAGCGACGGTCATTGAAATACTACGGTTGTGTTCTTTGTCGCAAATGGTAGTGCCATGGGGGTCCACTCTACGGTCTATGTTGATAAACTCGTTATTCATCACTATTCAACATTCTACATCACTAACAATCATGAAAAGTATTCCTTCAGTGAATCGAGCTTGAGACCATCAACATAGAACTCACGATCACTATCCATTAGACTACAGCAGCTGTAGTACAGCTACTTTTAAGAGATGTCTTCCTTTCCAGTAGCTTGAGTTGCTGACTCAGCAATGCTGAGCAACTGTTGCTCTTCATACTGACCACCCGCTCCATCTCATACACAGTTATCAGGTATGTGAGACTTCCACTGCGTCAGAAGAAGATCCCCTTCTTCGTTGAAGGGGATCCGTACCCACTACCAACGCATTGGCCGATGCCAACAATTCTGCCGCTTCCATCGGAGGAACTAGTAGCAAACTACAAACACAGAGATATGATGCAAAACATGTCAGTTTTGAGTCCTCAC